TGTTGGCATGCCAGACTCTGAGACAGCACAGACGCGCTCCACTAGAGGCACTTGGAAAACCAACAGATAACCGTAAGAACAAGTTTCGAAGCTGAAGCTGACAGAAGAAAAAAGAGACCAAGCCAAAGCTTCCGGTGGCGGCTGTGCAGGTTTCTGCCTCAGCAAATTCAAGATCAGCCGCAACATCTCATAATTGCAGTTAAGCAAAATTATATACCACGGGCAGGCAGGCCGAGATCTTCACAGATCTCTCAGCACACATAACAACGCATGTGTCATCCTCTCGAGGGGCCAAAAGGGGCAGCGGCGATGCCCTCACTTCTCGTCTTCAATCTGACTCTGACTCTGTGTCTGTGTTTATGTTTCTGTAAATATGCCGGCGGTGCAGATCTTCGCTCAGCTGCGATCCACCACAATTACTCAACTCTTCTTTGCGTGTGTGTGTGTGTGAATGTGGTTGCGGCTATGGACAGGGCTGTGGCTACGTGGCAATCTGTGGCCAACCGCTTGCCGGCCTGCACTCGAGACAAATGTATATCATTCATCAAATTAAAAGTTCAACAGCGTTGCAGTTGCCAGTTGCCTGCCAGTTGCCGTGAGGCAACATTCAAACGGGGGTAGTTCAAGCAATTTGTAGGAGAAACCAAACAGAGGCGATTAATTAAAAATGGAATGAATTGCTTACCGTGTTTTTTGTGAGCATAGAGAAGACAGTTATCGAGAATGAATCCCAAATGTGAACTTATTTTACATTTTATATTTCATATTATTTAATATACAATATAATACATACAAAAAGCTGAATTTGAAAAAGTGAGATCAATCGCGAAGTTTAAAAGCAGCCCTCGCTTATGTCAGCACAGCTAAGCGACCGCAAGTCAGAGTAACTGACAGAGCAACTGTTGCTCTTGCTCTTGTTATTCTTGTCGTTGTTGTTTTTGTTGGTGTTGTTGTTGCTGTAGTTGTTGCAGTTGTTGCTGGCATTGCTCTATTTTACAGCCGGTCTTTGGTTAGGGGTCTGGGACTGCCAATCATTGCCTGACTGGGCCTGACGTCTGTTGCTCATCTTTGGACTCCATTCACTCAAACATCAGCTGAAGAGGCTTCTCTCACTAATTCCCTGCTGCAGTGGCACCGCTCCCCTCCGCGCACCAGCCAAACTCGGCCACTTGTTGGCACTGCAAGCTAAGAACCCAGCTGCAGACCCCGGGCCAATGCTTATTAAGAGGGCTTTTCAACTTGAATGGTTTCCTGGGCCACTTTAATGTAATCGGCATACATATAAATATGTACATGTATGTATGTGGGCAAGTCGAACTTTTGCCCTTTGCTCCCGCTCCAAGATTTGTTGTCTGTATTTTAAAATAGCATTTATGAGCTTAGACGGCTTAAGAAATTTTATTGGTTATTAGTTTGTTGCCAGAATTTATGTCTCTTGGCTGGTTTTATGTGGCGCTCACAAAACTTTGGCCATTGCCCGGTTGAGACTTGAGAAATCAAAGCATCTAATGAGCTTAGCACGTGTTGGTCATCCATTTCAGTGCCCCCTCAGCTTGTGTCCTGGTTAGTTATCTAGTGTACACTTGCCTCGTTTCTGTGTTGTGGTTGTTGTTGTTGTTGTTGTTGTTGTCGTTGTGGTGAGACTTTAATCTTTAATTGCTTTTTGGGTTCCGTGTATGTTTGCCTTGGACATGCAAGAATTTCTGTGTTGGTTTTTGTATTTATAATGCCGAAGCAGGAGTTGTTGCAATTTAAAATAATGCTTCAACTGAAAGTAGAGCACAAGTGCGCTGGCATCTAGTTTCAAATGTTTTCTAATTGGAAATATACTCTATTTAAAAACACAATCACAAATATTTTAGTTCTATTTTATAAATTTGTCTTGAATTTTCAAACTATCAATGCCATGTATTCTATTTTGATTTTAAAGCTTAAAATTGTTGCAGAGTCTTGCTGCCTGCTCCCTTTCGAAATTAATTTTCTGCAATGCCAAAAACAATAAAAACAACTTTTGCATACTACGTCTGTCAGTTGTATATCCGCAACATACACTAAAAAATATACGCAAAAGTTTTGCGAGCTTACAACGATTTCCATTAGCAAATGCAACCGAACTGACCACAAAAAAAACTGTTCAGAGTATTTTTATTTATTTTTTATTTTGTATGTGCTTTTTGGCTCGCTCTACTAATTTTCGTCTAATAATTTGCACTTAACTGTTAGCTGAACTTCGGGTCCGGGTTTCAGTTACTTTCATAGAAAATTCCCTTTCATAAACAAATTTTCAACTTGGGCCGCAAATTGAGAACGCCAACTGGCCATGCGCCTGACGACGAAAGTTTTTGCAAAAATCCACAACGAATCCACAAACAGCAGGGGAATAGATATATATGGCTAGGCAGGATTGCGAGGCGAGCAGTGGGGCAAGTTCCGAGTCCGGGGCGGGGCTGGCTTAAATTACGTGCGCTGCACAATAGTTCAATAACGGACACGGCACGGCACGGCATGGCATGGCACAAAAACCCACAGACAGGCATCCAACAGATACGCGCCGGCATGTTGAAATATTGCAAAAATACTGAGATACATCGTTGGAGCTGTAGAGAAAACCAAGTTAAGGCCAACATACAAAAAGACAGCAGCTACGAATATAATAATAACAACAACAATAGCTAGACTTTTTTATTTACATTGGCCAGCATACAGCAGACACAACTACTAAAGTACAAATACTGGAGCAGTATGGCAGGAAAAGCACACACTGAAAATATTTCCCGTAGCGCTTACGGCTTTTTGGCCTGACACCACACATAAGTTATTATTTGCCCTGGCAATAAGTAAAAGGTAGATCTGATGCGCGGGGAATGCGGTGCAGTTCCTGCCAGTGTCCAGGATGTACAGCTCCAGTTTGCCAGTCAATTGTGGCGCGGCCCCTCGCCAAGTTGTTGTCGTTGTTGTCTTGGCTGTCTTGACTGTCTTGACTGTCTCTCTGACTCTGTATCTGTCGCTGAGTCTCTGTTTCTGTCGCGCCCGCCTTTCAATACAACTTTCATGGGCCACCGATTGCAGTTGCCGCCGGTTGTTCGATAAGTTTCGGAAATGAACTGATTTAGATGACGGTCTAGGGGACCGAGCGTCGAACTAATAAGCGTGAAGTCGCCGGTTGAAATCATGCAGAAACAAAAGACTCAAACGTATTTTAAATGAAAGGAAATTGTATTTTGAAATATTTTCTCCAGCCAGAGTTTCTCATTTTGGAGCAAACTCTCTGAGGCACATCTCGCACTGGCCTTACATTGTTTTTTGCTATTTGGAGCTGGCTTTTGTTTGGCACTCCTCTGCTGGTAAATAATGGTTAGTTTTTGATTTCAAACAATAATTCAATGGCTATAGCAGAGCAGAGCCAACTGTGTAGAAAAGTATCTACGAGTTGGTCGCATCCATTGCGGGGCCGGCAGTCAATTTGGTGGCGCTTTGCTGACCATTTTTGGGTGGCCACCAGTTCCAAACGATGCGACGCCTCCTCTGGAGCCGCACGCGTTCCAACTGATGTCGTTGTTGTTGTTGTTGTTGTTGTTGTTGTTGTTGCTGGTGCTGTGGCTGCTGCTGCTTTTGGCCATAAAAAGTAAGACAAGTTCCAGAGCGACGCGTTGCCAGGCTGTCGCCTCAGTCGCCTCTTGGCCGGGCCTGTCAGCTGAAGCTGTTAGATACAATTACAGTTAGCTGCCGACGATACAGACGAGACGTACTGTAACTACAGATACGTAGTGTCGAGTTTGGCGGCACTTCTCAGTGCCTTTTGATGTCTAGATGCCCCTCCGGCTTTTCTTCTAAGTCATGTGCTTTCTCCATCTGCAATTTCTCTATGCCACATGTGTGTGTTTGTGTGTGCTTATTCCATCTGATATGAACGCCTGTAAGCCGAGACAAAGAGCCAGTTCAGGCCAGATTTTATTGTTTCAAATGATTCGCTTATCGTGCCTAGCCAGTATCTGTATCTGCATGTTATGCTTGTGCAACTGCAGATACGTTGAGTCAGCTGCCACCTGCCTATGGCATCGCACAATTTGATACAAATACAAATATACCTGAGCCGTGTGAATCATCAGATACGTTGCTTGGTAAATGCACATTAAACTGCGACAAGTGTTTTTGGTTTGTAGAAAATTGCATAATTGCCCGCACCGTGGTCAGCCCATATAATCGTTCCATGATTCATCAGTGTGCACACACTTAAGAGTTTTTCTGACTCTGATCTAATCTTAAAGATATGCAAAGAAGTGGGCAAAGTTGAAGGCAGTTCACACCACGGGACCAATGAGAAACTGTTCTAATGGTTGGGCTATTGATTGCATCAGTTTGCTTTGGAATTTCGGTTAGAAACTGTTTCCAATCATGACAAATTTTGCATTTTACGAATCAAATTTCAAGATTGAGCCCCATCTAATGTGTTTATTATTTAAATTTATAATTCTTTGGCCTAAATATATGTGCTGTTAAATTTTGTCTTTACTGGACTAACAACTCTTCATAAATAAGATTTAGGCATGTCTAACTGAAGCAAGAATAAATATTGATGTATGAAATGCAGAACTAGAACTTAAGGGTTTTCATGATTGAATGTGTTAAATTGGCTGATGTAATGCTTTTGTGTGTGTGATTGTGTATGATGAATATATATATGTGTATTAATGTATTTGTTTGCATGTTTTGTCATACTAAACATTGACTTAGTTCACTTCCTGTTAAAATTAAATTAAGATAACTTATCCATTAATATTGCCCTATTTTGCGATTCTCATAAATTGAAGCAGGTTTTCATGCTATGAATATAAGTGGTTTCTCTGTTTGCTTTCTAATCGGTGTATTTAATTGGTAGTTTTTCGTATGTAGGGGTATGTATATTTATGCATGTATTAATATTAAAATATGTATGTGTCTAGGCGTATACGTGCTTACATATGTATGTGTATAACTCAGTCTTCTCCTTTTTGTTTTAGTGAAAAAAGGATTGTCTCCCCTAAACTAGTAGATGACAATAAGGTTATCCTGCGTATGATTGTAAATTTTTGTGTAAGTATCTATTTACATGTAATAATATATAAGAACGATTATATGTAAAGACAATTCAGACTCTTCGGCAAATTATGTTACTTTACCATATCACTTCAGAAACAATGCTCGGATATCTTATGAATCCCTAATAGCAAATAATTGGGAATTATATCACTTCTTTTACTCAAAATAATGTTTCCTTCCGTTTTTAAAGCTAAATGTGTAGCATTTTTGCAAGAATCCAATCAAACCTTAACCGGGCAGAAAATAAACAAACATTATAAGAGTCAAAAGATGGCAGCGAAAGCCAATGGGAAATATGAGAGCGAAATTAATATCATGCTAGTAACATTTTTTTTTTTGCATCTTTCCATCTTAAATAAAAATCAGACAAATTTTGTTCCCAAGGGAACTGAAATAATATTTATGCCATTTTGCTGTTGATACAAGAGGATGTGAATGTGCCTCAATTTCATTTAAAATGAAGATATTTACATGAGGACTGAAATGGAATCGCTGTTAATCGCCTTAAGGGCTGTAAATATTGTCAAAGGCAACAGTTCTTAACTTACGCCTGCACAAAATCAATTGATTTCTTATTTATAAAGTGAATGCGAATGCCACACGTTTCAGGTCTAGGCTGTATGGAGGGCAGGAGGGCTTCTAGCTAGAAAAGGAGCAATTCCACATAAGGGCTTTGGGAAGCCAAAAACCGGCACCTTCTAAGCACTAGACAAACAAGTCGCAGTACACAGATGAGCAGGGAGAAGCCTCGCAAAGAAGTAAACAAACAAGACCATAAATAAATTATTTACATTGGCCCAACGTCAGAGTCGGGCGGCGTTTGACTACGAAACTAGGCAGCCCCTCAAGTTGGGGAGGTGGTAAACATTTTTTTTCGCTTATATTTTTTTGCAAAATCAACAAAACTGAAATGACAAAAAGGCAGTCGGCCGGCAAAAGCTGACAATGCCATAAGACCAAGGCGTCTCGGGTCTACTACGTGGAACATTATCAAGGCAAACAGAGGCATAATGGACGCGCATAATGGAGCGTCCAGGACTGGGCAGCAGCAGCAGCGGCAGTGAAAAAAAAACAGACTTAAATTGAACAACTAATAGTGGCAGCAAAAACAGCAAAATCCCAGCTAGGAGGCGATGTGTGTGGTCTGGCAGCGAAATTAAATGAGGCAAGGAAATGACCGGAGGAGCTCTAGGAGAATAGGAAAGGGAATAGCTCGGCCAGAGTATGCCGAATAGGGCTGGCTCATTGTGATAATAAATAAATAAATAGCCGCAACGCTGGTTGCCTCGCATCGATTTGACTTACGGGCTTACGGGAATATGCAAAGGGAAGGGGGGCAAAAAAAAAGAAGGAAATATGTACAATCGCTATAAATACAACAGAGGGCGTGGCTGGGCTTAAATGCTTAATGCGCTGGGCTTAAAGCTATCCCAACCGAGCATTAAAGCTAATGCAATCGCAATGATTTGCATTTATACGGATTATAGAATAAATTGGCATAGGAAATGAACCATTTGCTAAACAATCGCTAATGAGGGACATTTCATATAAATTTATACTTATTTTTTTGTTTTTAGACATTTTTTTTAAACAACTTGATTCAGTCCGAAAATTAATGTGCCAAAATATACTACATTTTTATTAATAAATACTTAACATAAATTATTATCGCAAGCTGCAATTTGCAGACAAATGTGCGAACTTGTGAAACCTGTTGCTCTAACAAATCAATAATAAATTGTTTTTTTCCGTCTGAAAAAACATTTGTTTGTGAGAACTTGCAAAATTGAGCGTTAGCCTGAAAATAATAATATTCATTTCAAGCAACTCGTTATCTCGGCTTTGTCTCTGTTGTTTCCTCGAACACAGCTCAATGCGCAGCAGGCCCCAATTAACCTTTAAATAAATTTACAAACATAAATAAAAAGTATATTTGTTTTGGGCGTCGTGCGATTATCAATTGAAACACGTTTTCCATACCAAGCTGTATATTTAATCATAGACTATATATATTAGTATTAACATATAGGTATATGCATGCATTTCCATTAGATAATTACGCTAAACGTTATGCGCATTTATTGCACATTGATATTATTTAATTTATTTTTGAAAAATGTTTGGTTTTTCATTGCTTTTCTTCGATTTTTTACGTGAGTGTGGCTGGCTGCTTGTTAAATATGCAAATCGTTTCGTATTTAAAATGCATTTTAAGTTAAATATGCAGCTTACATAAGACCGAACTAGTTAGCCAGCAACATTTTATAGAAATTGACCAAATTTTTGCATAATGCGCCAAAAAGCTTTTCGAACCAACCGACTTACTGACGGACTGAGGTTTTTTTTTTTTTAGCTTGTCAGCAAGATTATATGGGCATAATGAATGAGCGCGACCCGGTGCTCTGACCTTAATGAGCTGCAGTCGCTTAGGACAACGTGCACAGCGTACGGACCATCGGATGGTTCAACTTAAAAGCGTTTCTAATCAAATTTGAATACGAGCTGCAGTTGGCAACAGACGTTAACAATTTCAGATTCGCCTCTGATGATGTCATTAAGTGACCAGCTCCTCCTTCCCTCCAGTTGATATACATTGACCCAATTTGTTTATTTATTGAAATTGCATTTTATTTCAATAATAACAAGTGAGAAATAGAGCAAATGAGTGAAATATAGTGAATGTGTGTGAATTCATGTGTTTTTGTTTGCATTCAATTGCATTTTGCCTCAATTATTATTTAATTTTGCCTGCAATTTGTGGGACATCTCAATTTGTCACAGTATTTTGCACAGATTGGGGAATTGCTTGTGTGATATGGCTGTTTAGGTCGTAGCCTTGCCAGTTTACCATATGAATGCGATTTGATATTCAATTCAAAGTGGCCAAATGTCACGATGCCGACACATTGAGGTTGGCCAGAATTGAGCACGCATAGAAAGTGGATTGCATTTTCAAGGCCAACTGAAAGTTATTCATGTATAATGTCATTTATTCTATATTCAAATTTAAGCAGCTTTTCATTGAGGAGAGGGCATTAAGGTCAATGGTTGCCTGCAGTTAGTTAATGACAATATATTAAATTGATTTTCCAATATGTTTAAATTACCAGTGAAAATTGTATTCAAGCATTTTAAATATATTTTAAATACTTATTAAAGACACTCTTCTTCCAGTAATTTTGATGGAATATTCGCAAAATTGTATACCACAAGAACCGAAAACCTTTCGATCTATTAAAAAACCCTCACATACTAGCCGGGCAGCTTATATGCCGCTGGCCTAGCTCAAATCAGTATAAATTACCTAGAGTTTCAAAATTTATGCACGCACTTTGTGAACTTAAAAACGTTTTGTGTGCTGTTTTTCAATGCGCCGCCAACCGCTGCCACCAGCCGCCCACCCTCCCTCTCCGCTGTCAGCCACGAGTAATGTCGCCTCTGGGCGCACAAATTGTGCGTATTCCCCAAGTTTGTTTACATTTTGGATGGTTTGTTGTAATTGCTCAGCGTAATTTATGCGAGCGGCGGGCCAAAGTCAATGTCGTGCCAGCCAACAACAACAATGCAACAAAACAACAAAAATAAAAACAAAATGAAAATGAGCAACAACAAACGCGAAACGAACAAGAAAAAACCTACGAAACCAAGCGCAAACACACTGGCGACAGACACGGAAAACCGTTTATCTGAGCAAATGTATCTCAAGGCAGTAATTACAATTTATTGTTGGTAATTATGTAATTTCGTGTGGGGCGACAGCCAGAGATACGAGATAGTTGGCCAGCGCGATAGACTGCCGAGACCAAGTTACAAGCCGGCGCTGTGACAATCCAAGTGCGTGTATAAACCAATTGCTCCATAAGTCGAGTGCGTGTCTAGGTCAGTGTTGGTGCCCACTTACTGACAAACATGCAGCTAACCCGCTGCCATTTTCATGCGTGCGCATTCAAATGAGTCTGTAGCTGAAAAAGAAGTGCATTGGAAAAGTTGCTGCACTGTGCAAGTCGGGGAGGGGTCGTTGCAAACGAAGAGATCAGCAGCTGCTGCCACTTTTCTTGACGGCTTGTTAGCTTTGGGTGGCGTGTAACGGGTGGCGGGTGGCTGAGGGGGAGTAGGAGGAGCCCAGCACGTTGCATGCTGCATGCAAGCAGCTATATGATTGCCATGTGTTTGAGTGGCCACCGTTTGCCGCCTGATCTTCCACTCTGGCCAGTTAGCTGTGGCCGGCTAGCCAGCTAGTTAGGTTTTTCTCTTTGGGCTTCTTCATTTTTTGCTGCATGCATCCGAAAGCTGTTTGATTGCCTGCACTTTGCTTGTTTGTTAGTCAACAATGTCGTCATTTCCTGTTCACGCATTGTGGCTTACTTTCTTGTCAACTTCGCTGCGTAATACACGCATTTCCGGTGGCTAAGACGCAGCTTGAGAGATTTCTTGATTTTAAAAAACAGGCAGAACTGGAATATCTTAAGCGTGTAAATAACTTATCATCGAAGTCAATTTAGAAATACTTGAGACTAGTTGGACATCAAGCCATAATTTCAAGCAATCATTAACAAAGCATTCATTTTAGCCACAAACACGTTTAACTTAATTTAATTCCATACGTCTATCTAAATCGCATTAGTTTTAATGGCAACAGCTGCCCAGCACAGCAAAACCCAACACTCAGCTGAGGGTTACGGGCCCTCAAAGTATTTCCGTTAAAAAATTTAAAATTGAAATTTAATTTACGCAAAAAATTCAACAACAAAAAAGGGAAACACAGCTTCATCAACGGCATTAGTTTGCACATATTCAAATCAACTAAAGTTTTTTCACTATTTGCTTTTTTCTGATTGAAGCGCAAAAAGAAAAATATCATTAAAATAAAAACAGCAAAGTGTTAGACCAGTACAGAAAGACAGGAAATAACTACGTTTGGCTAACTGAACAAACGTTGCCAAGGGGCGGGACGTTGGGGGATGAATGTAAAATAGAAAAAACCTGGAAATCATTTGTTGGCTTCGTTGGAGCCCGTTGGATCATTAACATACATTTGAAAACGCAAATTCCTATGCTGCAATGACTGTGTGTCTTGTGTGTGTCTAACTTGGAGCCGGTGGCTGTGCGGCCGCCGCGACGTCTCTCCCACACCCCCCTTTGGGTGATAATGTGGTCTTGGCTCTGTGGCCGCCACATGAAAATTTGTAAGTATGTTAGACCTGTCACTTGCACACTTCATGCCCATATTTGTCACATTTGCGCCATGTTCGCATGGGCTCGGGCTCGGGCTTGGGCTTGGGCTCTGGCACTGGAACTGGCACTAGCTCTGGCTCGGGCCCGTGCTCGGTTCCGGACACAAACGCAGAATGGCCCGCGGCACAGCGTCCGGCCCTGGTCCTACATGGGTCCTAGTCCTTGCCCGTTGTCAGCAATGTTGTCGTGGTTGTTGCTCGTTAGTTGCGCATCTGATTTGCCCAACTACGACGACAACGACATGGAAATTCGTTCGCTCTGCGTTTTCTTTTTCGCACCTATATGGGGTATGCTGCAAACAGCAGACCATTTCGGGTATATGGTCAGTCAGTAAGAAGAAAATATACGACATAAAGAGCAAGCAAAGGTCGCTTTAAATCACTTTGTTATATCAGAAATGATTACGTTAAACCTACTTCAGCTGCTGCTCCTCTGAGTTTCCTCAATAGAAGTCGCATTGCAGGGTATCTGTTAGTCGTTGGGTTGTGTGCAATTTCCTTGTGACTTGTTTTATTGTTTTGCCTGCTGCTGTTGCGGTTCCTGCTGCTGCCGTTGGCCATATTTGTATGAATAAATGCGTATTTAAGCACATACTTACAACACTTGCCATGTACATATGAAACAGGCCCAGACTCAGTCCCAGCGCCAGTCCCCGAGCACCGAACCATACCACGTCACAGTTCCAGCTGTGGCAGTCGCAGTCTCTTGTCGCAGCCTCTCCAGGCGCGCGTTTTGCATTTCCCTTTGCGCTTTTCCATTTCCACTTCTTCAACTCTTGCGGTTTTTGTCGTTGTCACACATTTGCTTTATGCTCTTTATGCCTTTTAGCTGGAACCTGCTCGTTTTTTGTTTAAATTTGCGGCATATTTTAATGTTTTTTTATGAACCTCATGCAAAATAGTTTATTAATTATGCTCGCACAAATTTCATAACTATTTTTTAAATTTTTTTTTGCGATTAATTCAATTGCAAAATTGCTCTTGCTGTAGTTAATTGCATAAAAAATAATAATTCATGTTTGTTCGTGTGGAAATCAGGGCATAAATATGTTTTAATTAAAATAAATAAATAAATATTCCCTGACAAGTTAAGAAATATGTTAGCTATTTAACATGACACTTTTGATGTGCTTATGTAAGTTAATATGCAATTATAGAATTTGTAGTACGTTATTGAATGCCTGCTAAAGGGACTTTTTTATACAGAATATTAGCATATGATTTTGCAGTTTTACTTTGTGTTGTATTCGTAAACGTTTTGTTTTTATACATTTTTCTAGTATTATTGTTTTTAATATTTTTATTATTTAGATTATTATAATTATTATTATCATTATTATTATTATTGTCATTATTATAATGATGATCGAGATACTTTTACTGTTTATCGCAAAGATAGAACGCAATACTCTTTTATATGTAGTCCATTGGGCCATTAAAAATTGACATAAATTATGGAAAAATGTTGAGTGCAAAAGCATAATAATAGTAACAAAATGTGTTGCTGCAAGCGACCATTTAAAATATTTTTTTAATGGACATTTTAAGCTCATCATAAATTGTTGGCATCAAACTGTGACATTATTAACAATTTACCACTGCCGCAGCTGCAATTTGTTGTTGCTTCAATAATTTATATATTCTTTTTTCTGCATTTTCATATCATTGCAGGCGGAACAACAAAAACAACAACAACAAAAACAAAGAAATAATATAATGCAATATGTTTGACAACAAAGTTCCGGCATTGAAACTGAAATTAACAAAATAAATGTTTTAAATTAAAAGCAGAAACAACAACAACGTACGCGCAGAAGTAGAGTGAACCACATTTTGAATTGTTAATGGGCCACAAAAAGTGTTAAATGTTGATGACGTCGTCGTCGCTGTCGCCGTCGCCGTCGCCGCCGCTGCCTCTGCCGCTGTCAGCGTCGATTATTCAACAGTGCTGAAAAGTCAATTACAGGTAATCAAATCGAAACTGATTGCATTACAATTCCAACTATAATCACAAACAATTTTAATACCCATTTATAATGTCAGTTATGTCATTTGCTAAATACAACAATTAATTTGGCCAGCAAATTTCGCCGCGCGCTTTCCGACACCTTGAAATTGATAGTTAGAGGTTTTTGGCGGTCGCCAAATCGTTTAGTAAACACTGCGGGCTTAGGGGCATGGCAACTGTTTGTATTTAAATATAAGTATTAAAAAGCTCAAACTGCAAATACATACATACACACATGCAGCTCAAATATTGCTGAGGAATTTGCATTGATTGGTCATAAAATCGTTTTCTGCTTTGCAGAAACTTGACCTTTTATTTGTGTATTTATGCTTTCGACTTAAATCATCAATTTTCTATGGTTTCTCGGTAATTTGCTGAATTCGAGCGCATAATTAATGCGTTGTTGGCATTTCAGCTGAATCGAGTGCGAGTCCTATCAGGGCGTGCCTGCAGCAGCAGCAGCATTTGTAATCATATACAGAAGCTTAATGAAAGCGTGAAATTACAAGAAGCTTTATAGAATTGTAAGTTTATACTGTTGACATTTAATTCTCTGCATACCCTGCACTTTTCTAGCACAATCACAGCATTATCAACTTGCGTATTTCCTAGAGCTGTAAAGCACGTCTTGTTAGCGTCAAAGAATTCGATGCGTTCTTTGTGAAATATTCATTTTGGGCGCGTTTCTTACGCGAGCTGGTCACAGAAATTAGCTTCCGCATTGATCCAACAACGAAGGCCATTGGCCCCAGTCGGTCTGCCTGGGGCAATTGCGTGACAATTATAACAGCTGCCGCTGAATGTGCGCCTCTCTATGCGCTTCTCAAATTGATTATGACTTTCACATGCCGCCGTGTCTGCACACGCACTACGCTCCAGTTAAGTTAATTAATACCAGACCGTAGCTCAATAAACTATGAGCATAGCAACAGATCTAACAGTTTGTCAACTTTCTTCATTAATTTAATTACTGTTTTCAATTGACGCAACACACAGTCAACGATGCGCAGCAAGTGCATAAATCAATTGATTTGGGTCGTTCTGATGGTAATCGGTAGATTGCCGCTGCCCAATGCACCCTTGCAAATAATGTTGAAACTTCAAAGCAGCTTGCAAGTTGTGTCAGGCACATTTCACATTTCAAATTCAGAGCCACATCATTCATTCATTTAAACACTTGTACATCTGTTCGTTTATCAATTATTGTTTGGTATGCGCCACTTGAGAGTTGCTTTGGGGTTCGCAAAGTCTCGGCGACGTTTTCCACAGCACAGTTGACCGACTTTGAGTTATTGTTGTTGCTATTGTTGCAGTTGCTGCTGCTGCTGCTGCTGCTGTTGTTTGTGTGTTTGATTTTCATTAAGTCGCTCCCTTGTGCCATTCAATTGTTGTTGTTTCTATGCTTGAAGCTGCCCACAATCCCCAGCTGGCAACTGGCAACTGGCAACTGGCAACTCTCAACATGCAGCTTGTAGCTTGCAACTTGCAACTCGCCGTACAGTTGCAATTACTTGCGTCATTAAACCAGCGACCAATGCCGGCATCGGGTTACTTTCTGAACCTTTTGTGTGATTTATATTACTTCCACTTTTAAAGTCACTAAAGATTTTCAATTGAGTTGCCGCTTGCAACTTGCAGCTGCAACATTAACAACTTGCAATTAGTGTGTACAGCCATTTCATTGCATGTGCTCGCCTCTGCTGCTACGGGGTGACCCCAAAACAAACGGCACGTAGCCAAAACCCAAGACAAACTCCAACTAAACGAGCTTAAAGGATACAATAGATGGTTTGGCAAAACAAACGATAGTTTTGGGAAACTTGGCAGAGCGTATAGAAATGAAATTACTTTGGTCAACAGAAGTTGTGGGGAAATAGTTAAACAAATAACAATAATAGAGTTATTTATGCGTATATATTCAATTTGAATTTAAATTAAAACCCGTTAAACAAAGCCAATCATGTTTAATCTGTAAAAGTAGGTGCAGTTCAAGTTTTGAATTCTTGAAAATCTCAGAGAGGGGCGCTTTTTTGAAAGTGCGAAAATCGTGACAACTAGAGCGAGCCAGAGTGAGAAAGAGGCTAAAATAAAAAGCCAATTCTTAAAGCATTTTCGTACAAGCATTTTCCAACAGAGGGACAGCGACTGCTCAGCAGAAGGGGAATAACTGTGAAACATGTCCGGCCAAGGAGGCAAGAGGCCCACCTGATAATAGTGCCTGTTAGGAGAGTTTCCTCTGTATTTCTGATACGCGTCTCAGCTTGGTTGATTTAAATTCCATGCATTGTATTTCCAATCGCTGAAATACACAAATTCACTAACTTTGATAAAATCACATATCGATCATAATTTTGGGATAGAATCCATTCCCCGTTGAATACCGACGAATCCTCCATTGTGAAGTCTGCAAATTTTGCACATGCCATGCATACATCATCATATTATTATTAATATTGTGTTACTCACTTTCGTTTGGTCTGTGAAACTCATTATTAAATTAATTAAATTCTTGCGCCTCAATTAAAATCTTATTAAGTTTTCGTCGTCGGCTTATGCGCAGTTGCGTTTCTTTCGGGCAATGAATAATGCCTCGAAGAATGGACAACTGGCGGGTGGACAAAAAAAAAAAAAAGCATCTGCCAAAGCTTTCTTATTCACACTTGGATATCCGTTGCACACAGGCGAACAGGAGGACCACGGGGCCGATGCCTGAGCCTGGCAAATGCCTTCTTTCCTGTCTTCGCTCTGTACCCCACCAGTCCGCTCGCTTGCCTATAAACATTTTTTCAAACAATATAGCATAAAAAGTCCTGGTAAAAAACGGCGCCTGGGCTTGCCTTGTTGGTCCTTTTTGTGCGCGGAACAAAGTGCGCCATGTGGTCGGGTTGGTTTGGATTGGGTAGCACCGCTTTGGCTCTGTTCGAGTGCGACTTGTTGTTGTAGTTGCTGCAATTGTTGTAGTTGTTGTAGCTGCTGTTGCTGCTGCTGCACATATTGCTGCTGCATTCTTCGCATAAATTTTTCCAACGCACTTAACTCACGTCGGGGTCTTGACGGCGCAAGAGTCTTTAAATGAGTCTGGCCCGCTCTGTCTCTCCCCCCTCGCTATCCTTCTCACTCCATCTCCTTTCTCTCTATCTCTCGCTGCCCCGTCTGTGCATAAACAATGGCACTGTTTAAAGCAAAAACCTCGGCTATCCCCAATCTCTGGTTCCCCGAATTCCCGGACAAGTTCCTCGCACATGTGACGTTTCTGCTGCGGCTGCGGCTGCTGCTGCTGCTGCTGCTGCTGCTGCTGCTGCTTTCATGTTAAATTCAGATGCTGCAGCTGCAGCGGGGGTAAGTTGAGCGGGATGGCAGTGCAGTTGGGGGCTGAAATTGAAGGCCGACTGTAGGCAAAAGTTTTGCAGAATGTTGAGCCTGGAAATTTAAAAGCGAATGCAAACATTATAGCGCAATTCATTGCACAGTGGTGTGAGCTAATGAAAATGAAAGCCATTTCAGATTAATAATTTGTAGCTAGCCAGACTTTTAATAAATACCAATTACTTTAGGCATGCGAACGATGAATCAACTTTAACGAATTATTTATTGCCCAAAACCTTTTGGAACAAACTTACTGGAGCCTTAAGTTTCATTAAACTCTTTCAAATATAGGTAATATTTAAAGGAGCACGAGTTTTGAGTTTGAAGATTTTTAGAATGGTTGGCATTATGTAAGCAAGATATATTTGTAGGTTGGTGGATTGTCCAGCCATAAACTGTCAGACTCAATATATGATTCAATCTAAATAATAAATTTCATTTAATTAATCTGCAGAATACCAAATCTGACATTCGACTTGGCAGCCGACAAGTGTTTGCCAGCCAAATTTGACCAATTTCAGTGTGATTTCTGAACGTTGCTTTAATTTCTTTAGTTTCAATACTTAATGTCAAACAGTGTTAAGCTTTCATAGCCATGGCTTAAAGGCTAGAATGTAATCAATAATCAGCTAAGTGTCAAAAGCTGTCTTAAAGCTCCTTTCGGCTCACTCCTCGCACGCTATACGCTGCCTTGTCCCCCATTTTGGGTTTATTGTTTACTCCGGCTGACCTCCATTGCTATCCACAACTGAGCTGGGCCACAGTTTGGGGCAACTTGAGAGAGCAATGGCCAACTAAATCACCGCAACTGTGCAACTAAATTTCAAGCGCACTAAATTTCGCACACGCCAACTGCAACTAAACCGACTCCGAGCATGTGCCGTGGCTTCCTGTTGGCCAACAGCAGCAGCAACAATGTTGGCTGCCCGTTCAGAATCGTGTCTAGCTAGGAGTCCCTCTTCTCGCTCTGCTTGGCTGCCTGGCCACACTCGTTCCGGCCCTTTTGTTATTTCCTTGCCGTGCAATTTTCGCCATTTTGTGGCGCACTTTGCGCCCGCCGCGATTTGCAAAGATTTATGGCGCTCGACATGGCGGCGGTCAACGTTTGGCTGGCGCTACTTAGTCCAGGTAGCTGTTCGCTGGCACAGACTGTACCCACCTCCTCCCACCCACTTCTTCCCGCCTATTTTTGTCTGCCAGATTGTTGCAGTTTTCGCGTGTCGAGTCAGCAACAAATGCAGCCCGTTGTCTGCTGCCTTCTAATGCCTGTCAGCATTGTCGCAAAGACGTCCTAAGCCCTTGGCCAACTGCCGGCGGCGGTAAATCCTTTACGCGCTTTTAAGTTGGCCTAATTCTCGTTTTCATTTCGTACATTTCCCTACTTAATGCTTAATTTAAACACAAATCCGATCTGCTGGCTGACTTTTTTCGATAAGCAGCCTAAATAATAGCAAAAGTTGGCAAAGTTCCCAAGTGGAGAAGGGGCCAGAAGCGCAAAAAATATTTATATATATGCATGTATATTCGACGTTACCTAGCAATGGAAATTTAATTTGCCGCAGCAACTTTTCTGCTTACAAAAACCTGCCTCA